ATGTGATGAGGATCTCAATGAATCTCCAGAAAGCTACTCCGGACTGTTGAAACTAAGCTGGATTATACTGTAATGTTTTTGGTGTTTTGAGGATAGGGATGAACAGCACTACATGGACTATTTTTTGGTTATGTTTGGACAGTCTTTGAGGAAGAGTTTGTATGGTGGAGCAGTGAGTTGGGTTTCTGTTTTGAACAAGAGCAGTTTTGGTTTTGAAAATGAGTCAAAGTTGCACAGAATATTGTTTTTCTGCTCAACAAAACTCTCTATCTTTTCTCTAGAAAATTTTTCCTCTCCTTAAAATCCAGCCTCTAACCTCTTTGTCTTATGAGACAATCTTCTTTTGTAGACCCCTTGATTGTGGTTTAGGGGGGAAAACAAATAATTTATTTTGAATTATTTTTGTCTACTGCTTTGATACTTTCTGCACACAATTTTCCTTTGCCATTTTGGTGCAATTTTGGGGCTGTTGTGGTGCTGGTTTGGGCAGACTGCATAGAGCAGTTTTGGACTGTATTGGGCAGCATGTATACTTGGGATGCATCATTGCACAAGCTTTCTTGTAGGGCAGCCTGGGGTGTTGTGGCATATCACATTTTATTCAACTTTGGACAGCATAGTTTGTAGCATATCACAAATTTGGTCTTGTGCATATTATGTCAAAGGAAAAAATATTGTGACAAGGTTTTAATCAAGACATATTTTTAGAATTTGTAATTTTGCAAAATGTCACTTTGTAATAACTTGAATTACTTGCATCATCTTGAATTATTTGGAGTTGTAGTAAAATGCCATGAAGCAAATGAAATTAACCAAGTATAGAGAATACTTAGAAAAATCTCAAAGTCTTGCAAAGTTTGATTTTTGATTCTCTTGACTTTTGATGATGAAACTTCATTTTTTTGGATGTCTTGACATAATGTGATTTTTGGGACTCAAATTTGATCCAAAAGTCAAAGTTTGACTTTTTTAGTGTCCGATTGACTTTTCCAGCAGAAACTCCAATTTTGCTCATTTTGCCCCCTTTTGATAATTTGAATGATTCTTCTTAGAAAATGTGGTATGAGGCTTGAAACTTGACTGAAGTAATTCTAAGAATCCTTGGAACAGGAGAGAGAAAATTTTGGGGTACAACAGGTTTTTACAAAGGTATTTATATGAAAACTTTTGAGAAAAAAGGTTTTAAAAACGAAACTGTAAAAAGAGTTTAAGAAAAAAATTAATTAAAAAGAATCTAATCATTAGTAGCATTTAATGATATTGAAAATTGAGGGGAAAGCGTGAGATTTGAGTGAATCATAACAGTTACCTAGGAACCGCGTCAATAGCTTAGCACGCGTGATCTTTCAGAAACACACCACGTGTTCATCTCCTGAAGGTTGCATGGGACAACTGTTTGATATAATGAACTGTTGAACTATACTTGTAATGAAACGTTATAACATTTCAGAACTTTATATATAGCTTCTGATGTAACTTCTCTTCTAACTTCTGAAGAGTTGTTAATCAGAACATTCATTTCAGAATATTCTGAAGGCAAACACAGAAGATAAATACAATTTTATTCAGGACATAATTTCATACAAATATTTTTCAAAATGAATTTAAATTTATCTTCTGAAAGGGGTTTGGTAAAAATATCAGCCCATTGATGGTCTGTTTTTACAAATTTTAAATTTAAAATTCCTTTCTGAATGTAGTCCCTTATAAAATGATATTTAATTTCTATGTGTTTAGCTTTAGAATGCAAAATGGGATTTTTAGAAAGACAAATTGCAGAGGTATTGTCACAGAAGATAGAAATCTTACTTTCATAAAGATTAAAATCTTCTAGCTGACTTTTCATCCAGATCATCTGAGAACTACATCCAGCAGCAGATATATACTCAGCTTCTGTTGTTGAAAGTGCAATTGTTGCTTGCTTCTTGTTGTACCACGAGATAAGATTGTCACCCCAAAACTGGCAGCTTTCAGAGGTGCTCTTTCTTTCAATTCTATCTCCAGTAAAGTAAACATCACAATAACCTACTAGTCTGAAATCTTTTGATCTTCTGTAACACAGACCCAGATTAGTAGTACCTTTCAGATACCTCAAAATTCTCTTAACAGCAGTTAAGTGAGATTCTCTAGGATCTGATTGGAATCTAGCACATAAACATATGCTGAATAATATATCAGGTATAGATGCAGTTAGATAGAGAAAGGATCCAATCATACCTCTGTAGAGCTTCTGATCTACCTTCATACTTACCTCATCTTTTCCCAGAATGCATGTTGGATGCATTGGTGTCTTAGCATCTTTGCTTTCTGACATCTGAAATTTCTTCAGAAGTTCTTTAACATACTTCGTCTGATGTATGTAAGTACCTTATGGAGTCTGGTTAATTTGTATTCCCATAAAGAACTTTAATTCTCCCATCATGCTCATCTCAAATTTTGCCTACATGGTCTCAGCAAATTCTTTTCCAAGAGAGATATTAGAGGTTCCAAAAATAATATCATCAACATAAATTTGACAAATTAAAATGTAATTTTTAAATGTCTTTCTGAATAAAGTTGTGTTCACTTTCCCTCTGGTAAAATATTTTTCTAAAAGGAAATTACTCAAACGTTCATACCAAGCTCTGGGAGCTTGTTTTAAACCATATAAAGACTTTTTTAATTTAAAAACATGTTTTGGTTACTTTGAGTCATTAAAGCCAGGAGGTTGATGGACATAAACTTCTTCTTCTATATAGCCATTTAAAAATTCACTTTTAACATCCATTTGATATAATGAAATGTTATTTTGAACAACAAAAGAAATTAATAATCTAACAGACTCTAACCTGGTGACTAGGGTAAAGGTTTCATTATAATTAATTCCTTCTTGTTGACTATAACCTTGTGCAACCAGTCGTGCTTTGTTTCTGACCACCTCTCCTTGCTCATTTAGTTCTTATAATGTTGAATCCTTTGGGTCTTGGAACTAGATCCCACACATTGTTTCTGGAAAATTGATTGAGTTCATCTTGCATTACTAAGATCCAATCATTGTCTTCCAGAGCTTCATCAATAGAGGTTGGTTCAATCAGAGATACCAATCCAAACAATGATTCTTCATTGATTATGAGAGAGGATCTTGTTCTGATGGGATCTTCTTTCCTTCTAATAATCACGTCTTCTTTATGAGCTGAAGAGATTCTGGGAAACCTTTTCTGAGAGGGTTGTTCAGAGATTCTGAGATTATCCAGAGCATTGTCAAGAGGAGGATCTTCTGAGTCTTCCTTTGCTTCTGACTTTTCAGAGTTTGAGAGATGATCTTCTGTACCTACAGAAATATCAATTTGCTTTGGTTGTTGCTGGCCAAGCTTATCATCAAACCTGACTTTGATTGATTCTTCAACAATCAGAGTTTTTGTGTTGTATACTCTATAACCTTTTGAGCGTTCAGAATATCCAATCAGAAAACACTTTTGTGCTTTAGAATTAAACTTGTTCAGATTGTCTTTAGTGTTCAGAACAAAACAAGTACATCCAAAAGGATGAAAATATGAAATGTTGGGTTTTTTGTTTTTCCACAATTCATAGGGAGTCTTTTCAAGAATAGGTCTTATAGAGATTCTATTTTGAATGTAACATGTTGTGTTCACGGCTTCTGCCCAAAAGTGCTTAGTCATATTTGTTTCATTTGTCATGGTTCTGGCCATTTCTTATAACGTTCTATTCTTTCGTTCTACAACTCCATTTTGTTGGGGAGTTCTAGGACAAACTTGTATCAACTTATGTGAAAATTATAGGTCTAATATTTGTAAAAATTTTAGATTTCTACCAACTTATGTCAAAATTATAGGCAAAGTTATGTTATATATATATATATATATATATATATATATATATATATATATATATATATATATATATATATATATATATATATATATATATATATATATATATATATATATATATATATATATATATATATATATATATATATATATATATATATATATATATATATATATATATATATATATATATATATATATATATATATATATATATATATATATATATATATATATATATATATATATATATATACATGATTGCCATATGTTGTTGATGATACAAGCTTTGTTTGGTAGTTTGGAGGGGGGAGAAAGAAAGACTTCCGAAAACCAAATTTTTTTAAAATACAAGTTTTTTTAAAAAACATTTTTTGAAAAACTGATTTTGTATAATGATAAAAGAGTATTTATCATTACTATATTTTTAATTTTCAAAATACTATAATAATATAAAAGATATTTCGAAAATTTATGTAAGCCCTCTAAAACTCTCCAAAACCATCATTCAATACAAATTTTGAGTTATCCCAAAATAAGGGGTTTTTGGTGTTATGAATAAAAACAAATCCTTCAAAATACTTACAATCAAAATCCTTCAATTCTTTCCACTTAATCCTTCTCTTTTTTTTAAAAGTTTTTCCCTCCCTTCTCCTTCAAACTCCTAAACAACTGGCTAGTAATTTATTAATAACACACTTAAAAAGTTAAAGAAACTTATGAATTTGTCACTTGGTAAAATTGAAAGACAAATCACCCGAACTTAACAATTTTGAGTAATGATTTCAAACTCTATTATATTCTAGAAGATGAGTATATCTAAGGGACTTTTATTGAAGAACACACCATCCTTTTTTATTTCAATGAATATAAGCAAAATTACATCAGAAGCCCTTTAAATTATTTATTGTACAAGCGCTTAAGTTTTGTTTAACAACTTAGTCATTTAAATTTCTTAACCAAAGCTGCCTACAAGGAGAAAATACAATTAGGATGTTGATTGATGTATTGTGTTGAATTAGGATTTTACTTTATGTATTTTAGGATGCTACTTTATGCATTTTGATACCACTTTATGTGTTTTTTTTGGAATAAGATACTTTATTACCAAATGACCCAAGGATCCAGAAATACAACCAAAAAAACCAGAACACCAAATGCTAGCCTACATTACACAAGAGTTATCAAAATTGTTATCCTACTTTTCAAATTTGGATGCATATTGCATCTACAAATAATGATATCTATGACATTCTCTATTACATTATTGTCTCCGCATTTCTGTGAGAAAATAATATCATTACTTTTCCTCCAAATACCATAAACCGTTTCTGCCATGGCCAACTTCAACATAATTCTTTTCCCGCCTTTCTTCTTGGTTTCATTCCTCACACATTCTTTCTCATTGGTCAAATCCACATGTTGTTTTTTGTATCTAACTAATTCAAGAATCTGCTTCCACCAAGTTTGTTTCACCCTTCACTCAAAACAAAATATGATTTATAGTTTGCCACTTGTCACATAACGCATATTTACTATCCACTGTAATCCCCATTCGAGACAACCGATCCTTTATGGGGAGCCTATCATGAAGCTCACCCAAAGAGAAAAATAGCACACGGTTTGGCATAATTATCCAATAAGATCTCGTCCCATTCTAACTTTGGTTTATCTCCTCTAATAGCCTTGTACATTTCAACTGTCTATAACTTACCATCTCTAGTAGCAGTTTTCCAGTATTGCATTTGTGCACTCTCATCCCTATATTTCACCATTTTCTTTAGCAGCCATGAGCAACTAGTAGTAGGTTGCCACTCCATAACATTTTTACCCTTCAAGTAGTGTATCCATCCATTTTACTCCCATATTTTGTTAGCTTTGCTATGTAAATTCCAAAGCTGTTTGATAATTGCAGCTTTATTTCAATCTCTCAATGAAATAAATCTAAACCTCCTGCATTTTTAGGATTGCAAATAGTGTCCCAATCCACATGGGCCTTTTTACTACCTTTCTCTGTACCACTCCAAAGGAAATTCCTACAAATAACTTCAATTTTATGGGTAACTTTCACTGGGATATGCAAAACATGCATCCAATATCTAGTGATAGACATAATCACACTAGTAATCAACACTGTCCTCCCTGTATGACTCAGTAATTTGGTCGACCAGTGTCAGATTCTATTCACAAATCTACCAATTAGAGGTCTATAGTGATGCACATTCAACTTCCTACTCGACAATGGAACACCAAGGTGCTTTAATGGTAAATCTCCTATAAAGAAGTGTGTTGTATCCAGGATTCTCTGCTGAGTTACATCATTAACACCGCCAAAGTATACTTTAAATTTAGAGGGATTAGTTATCATACTTGTGGATTCATATAACTTATGAAATTCCTCCATCATGATTTAAACCAAGCCTTCATCCCCTCTAGAGAAAAGAATGAGGCCGTCCATAAAGCAAATATTAGTGATGTTCATTCTCTCACATCTTGGATGAAAATTGAAATTTTGAATCTTTTGGAGCTTCTTCATACATTTGTTCATGTATTCCATAATTAAAACAAAAATAAACGGTGATATAGGGTCACCTTGTCTAATGCCTCTTTGCGCCTTAAGAATATCGCTATGCTGCCCATTAATACATGTACAAAACTAATTTCACATAAACCATAATCCACTTGACAAATTTCTCAGGAAGTTCATCTCTCTCATTATTGTTTCCAATGCTGTCCATTCCACCACGTCGTACGCTTTTTGAATATCAATTTGTATGGCACGTCTAAGATAAAGGTGGTTTCTATTATACCCTATAAGAATTTCCTGAGCTACTATAATATTATTGTGAATCACCTTACCCGAAATAAAGGCTGACTGGTATTCATCAACTATATCATTAATTACATGCTTCAGCATATTGGTGAGAAGCTTGAGATGATCTTGTAGAGCGTTGTACAACACATTATATGTCTCATGTCCCTCGTGGTTTTGGCCTCCAGAGTTTTAGGGATTAACATAACAATAATTCAATTAATGGCAACATATATCATTTTGTTGTTGAAGAACTCATGTATGGCTTTTTTCACATCCTCTTTAATGATTGGCCGAACTTTTTTAAAGAACTTAGCAGTTATACCATCTAATCCCAGGGCTTTGGAATCCCCAATACTGCTCATAGCCTTCCAGATTTCATCATCATTGATAGGATGAATTAGCTTTTTATGGTGTGTTTCTTGCAATTGAGCTCCCTCTCAGATGGCTGCAATATCAACATGCTTAATTCTACGAGTTTTAGTACCAACCAAATCTGTGTAAAATCTCAAAACTTCCTTCTCTATATCATCCCCATTTGTCAGAATATTGTCTTGCGGGTCCTCCAATTTATGTATGCCAATTTGTTTGTTTTTCCTTCTAATGGTGGCATGGAAATAAGCATTATTTCCATCCCCGTATTTAAGCCAATCAACCTTAGCCTTATGCATCAGGATTTTCTCCTCCACATCAATGGCTTGGAGCAGTTCTTCGGTCCACTTGTTAATCAATTAAATGAAATTCTAATTGAATACGTCATTAGATGTGAGTTATTGTATCTGAGCAAGCTTACTTCTACTTTCCTCTATTCTCTTTACTTTGTCAATTGTATCCTTGTTCATCTTCCTCATCAAAGGTTGCAGGCTGTTGTGTTTGTTCTACACAGTATACATAAGTTTCCCCACCACCTCAATATTCCAATTATTTCTTACTGTCTCCATAAAATGAGGTTGATTTATCACACAATTTAGAAATTTAAATGGGTGTTTATAGTTCTGCATACCTCTAATAATACCCCAAGGTTGAACTAGGATGGGAACATGGTCTGTAATATGGAAAGTACGATTTTTCCGTATCATAATTATGGAATTGGAGACACCACTCTCTATTACAAACTACTCTATCAGTTTTTAAATATATTGTACCTGTTGTATTCTTATTCAACCATGTAAAATATCCACCTCTGATATCATGCTCAAACAACCCTGCTTCCTCCATCATAGTCTCCAGGTCATGGTATTCAACTTCTTGCACCGGGTTGCCACCGACTCTATCATTGATATGAAGCACATTGTTAAAGTTGTCTATAACCACCCAAGGACCTTTAATCGAGCTTGCCATTCTTTTGATATCCAGCCAAAAAATTCTTCTATTACTCAATTGGTTTTGAGCATAAATCACTCTTAGTGCCATCATAATTCTTCACCTCACAGTGGATGTATTGATCTGAACACTATTTTCTAGTGATGTTCAAACAATCCTCTTTCCAAAGAATCCAAATTCTGCCATTTGGGTGACAAGTATAGTTATCAAGCCAATTCCAATCATTGTCAAATGTTTTCCTCACTTTGGCATTACTTTCTTTAACTCTTGTCTCCAGCAATGCTACACATGACACATGTAACTTCTTAAGATATGCTCCAATCTCAATATGTCATGCTCTTTTATTCAAGCTTTGAATGTTCCAGCTAAGTATTATGATAAATGGCATTGGAGATTGATGGGATATCTCCAGTCCTAAGAACCTCAAATCCACTATTACATCCAAATAAATCACCTCCATTCCTACCTGTTACAAAATGTTATGTTCCATTTTCTTTACCTTTTATTTATGTTTCAGCTTTTTACCATTGTTCATTCATGTTGTTTTTCTTGTACCTCTGGTTGTTTTTCTTGTACCATTGGTCGCATCTTTATCATTTTTCGATTTGAATCTTATGATAAAGTATCCTTTATCATTAAAGAACAGTTGAGACATTGTGACAAAGTTCCATACGCTTTCCATGAACCTCTTCACAACATTCATTGATAATTTTTGCCCTAAAGCATACACAATCAGAGAATGTTCCAAATACACCATTTCAGAAGCCACATCTTGTTTAGATATCACAACTTCGATCTCCCCATCTACTATCTCAGACATAACATATTCGATTTCAAGACCATTGAAAGCTAGACAATTACCTCTTATAACGTCCACCCATGGTCGATTTGTTTCCGTATCTTTCTTTTCTTCCGCTACTTCTTCGAGATGTTCCTATGCTATTGTCTCTAGGGTTTGCTTCACAACCAAGTTTTCCTTTTCGCTCTCTTTCATTTTCCTACTATGGCTTGCTCCAGGATCATTCAAACTCTCGAGTAACTCTTCTAAACGAGCAGACGATGGTGTGAAGACTCATACCACCGCCGGAGGTGTTGTCCGACCCCGCCCTCGCCCCATTTCCACTTTATGTATTTAGTTTCACACATTTGATAATTTAAAAGGACAAAATTGTTACAAAAGAAAGTTAAAAAATCAACCTATTGCCAAAAAATTATTTAAAAGACCTCTGCTATAATTTTGCTGTGAATATATTATTGTGAATTTTATTTGAGGAGAACTAATTTTTTTATTTCAATGAGTATAGTTTTGGGAGTTATATTAAAGTATGAACTAATATTTTTAATTCAATGAGTATATTTTTTTTTAGAATCATCTATAAACTATCTATCTATTAAAAGAACTTGCATGCAAACTATTAATAATATTTTTTATTTTGAAAATTTTCACACTTATAAAAGGTTAAAATAGTCAAAATCTAATTTCTCAATTGTTAGTTGGTTAATTCTTGTTATTGAGTTATTTGGGCTTTTTAGCATGTATTTGAACCTGGGCACTTTACTTATATAAATGATCATTGTGTTTGTAATCAATAACAACAAGAGCAGCAATAATAATCCATTCAGTTAGAAAGTTAGTTACACTTAACTAACTCACAATGTCTATCTCTTCTCTTCTTCATCTTCTTGTTTTCTCAAAAATCATCTTTCTTGAATATTTTGTTCCAACAAATTGATATCAAGAGCTTATTTGTGATTCAGAGAGAATCTAATGGCAAACAGATCAACAACATCAACATAATTTTCAGCGAATCTACCGATTTTTAAAGGTGAAAACTATCAACGGTGGGTTGCGCAAATGAAGGTTATTTTCAAATTTCAAGATGTCGTAGAAATCTTGAATGATGGAATATCAGAATTGGAAGTAGATGCTACGGAAGCTCAGAAAGCTGTGCACAAAGATCAGAGGAAGAAAGATGGCAAGGCGTTATTCTTGATTCACCAGTGTGTGAATTGTGACATATTCGAGAAGATAATTGAAGAAGAAACAACAAAATGAGCTTGGGAAAAGCTGAAATCTTTGTATGGTGGAGATGAGAAACTGAAGAAGGTGAAGTTGCAGACACTGAGAAAGCAGTACGAGATGCTTCAGATGAAAGAGGATGAATCTATTTCTGCATATTTCTCAAGAGTTGTGGCGCTAACAAACTAGATGAAGGCATGTGGTGAAGCGCTTACGGATTTACGGATCTGCAAAAGATAGAAAAGGTATTGAGATCTTTAATCGCAGATTTTGATTACTTTGTTGTGACAATTGAAGAGGCCAAGAATATATCTGAGATGAAGTTGGAAGAACTTCAAGCTTCATTAGAGGCTCACGAAATGAGGTTGCAGCGGAGAAACTTAGAAAGAGAGAAGACAACTGAACAAGCATTACACTCAAGATTCAGCAAGAAAGTTGGAAAAGAGAAGTCGAAGCAACAAAAGAATCTTGCTGGTGATGAGAAGTCAAGCAAGAATACTGATTCGAAGGTGTGGGCAACAAGTATTTTAGTAAGAAAGTTGACACGAAAGAGGTGCAATGTTATAATTGTCAAGGTTTTGGCCACTATGCTAGAGACTGTCGAAGAAAGAAAGCTGCAAGGTCGAAAGATAGTGATGAAGCTCAATATGCACGAGCTGGAGATAGTGATTCTGATGATGTGTTATTGCTGGTGAACACTCAGTCGACTACTGAGAAAAATAACATGTGGTATCTGAATTCAGGATGTAGCAACCACATGACTGGCAATAAAAACTGGTTTACCAAGTTAGATGAATTAGTCGAAAAGGTGATAAAGTTTGTAGATGGCAGGCATATCAAATCAGGTGGTAAAAGAGATATTTCGATTATCAGAAAGGATGGTTGAAAGGCTACTATCACTGAAGTTCTATATGTACCTTCGATGACAAGTAACTTGATAAGTGTGAGTCAATTACTTGCAAAAGGCTTCAATATGAAGTTAGAGAATAATCAGATGAAGGTATATAGGGCTGATGTGAGGATAATAATGAAAGCACCATTGGTGGAGAACAAAACGTTGAAGGTTGAACTCAACATATCGGATCACAAATGTCTTGCTTTGACTACAAAAGAAGACAAGAACTGGCTATGGCATCACAAGTATGGACATCTAAACTTCAAGAGTTTATGTATGCTCAATAAGAAAAGAATGGCGCTTGGGTTACCGTATGTGAAGGAACAAAAGCACATATGTGAGGAATGCTGCAAAGCTAAACAAGCAAGAAAGGCGTTCAAACGTGACTTGCCTATAAGATCAAGGCAAAAACTGGAGCTTGTTCATTCAGATGTGTGTGGACCCTTTGGAGTTAAGTCAAATGGAGGTAACATGTATTTCCTTACTTTCATTGATGAATTCATCATACATATGTGGATCTAGCTTATTGAAAAGAAAAGTGAGGTATTCACACAGTTCAAGAAGTTCAATTTGCATGCTGAGAAACAAAGTGGCTGCAAATTGAAGAAGTTAAGAACTGATGGTGGTGGTGAATATACTTCAGCTGAATTTGCTAGATTTTGCAAAGAGGAAAGTATAAAGAATATGGTTACTGCACCCTATACGCCTCAACATAATGGCATAGTTGAGAGAAAGAATAGAAGTGTACTGAACATGACGAGATGTATGTTGAAAGCTAAGAATATGCCTGAGATTTTAGGCTGAAGCAGCTTCAAGAACAATATACATTCTAAATAGATGCCCAACAAAGAAGATGGTCGAAAAGACACCGCATGAGGCTTGGAAAGGATCGAATCCAAATGTGAGTCATCTTAGAGTTTTTGGATCAATATGTTTTAAGCATGTACCTGAATAATTGAGAAAGAAGTTGGATGATCGTAGTGAAGTCATGGTGCTCATAGGTTATCATTCAACTGGTGCATACAAGTTATATTCACCAATCGAAGATAAACTAGTGATCATTAGAGATGTTTCTTATAGACGAAAGCAAAGGATGAGATTGGAGTCGAAGTTCAGTTCAACATAAATCAGACACAGTCAGAACTGTGTTTGAAGAAGGTGAACAAAACAAAGCTTCGATAAGTTAAAATGAAGAACCACCTGTGCAAAATGAAAGAAGATCCACAAGAACAAGAACTGAGTCGACTAGGTTGATTGGATATGAGAGGTCTCTAGATCAAGCAATCGATGCAGATGGTGACTTAATCGAAGAAGCCATAATGATGGCTGAAGCAGAACCAATTGATTTGGGTGAAACCTTTAGCAATTTGAATTGGTGTGAATCCATGAAATAAGAACTTAGAGCCATTGCGAAGAACAAGAATTGGGATCTTGTCGAAAGAACCAACAAGAAAATAATCGATGTGAAATGGATCTACAAGGTGAAACAAAGTCCAAATGGTGAGATTGAAAGTATAAGGCAAGACTGGTGGCCAGAGGTTTTCTACAAAAACCTGGTATTGACTTCGATGAAGTATATGCGCCTGTTGCGAGGATCGAAACAATCAGGATTGTTGTTTCGATAGCTGCATGTAGAGGAGGGAAAATGCACCAACTTGATGTAAAGTAAATATTTTTGAATGGTCCATTGGAAGAAGAAGTCTACATTACTCAACCACCAGGTTTTAACGTTAAAGGGCAGGAGTTGAAAGTTTATAGATTAAGGAAGGCTTTTTATGGCTTAAAGCAAGCTCATAGAGCTTGGAATAAAAGGGTAGATAGCTTCCTAATAGAAGCAGGTTTCACAAAGTGTGTCTCTAAACATGAAGTATATGTAAATTATATCGAAAGTATCAATCGAATTATTTTATGTCTCTATGTTGATGACTTACTCATTACAGGAGCAGACGGAGTTGAGATAATGAAGGTAAAGTCGAAGTTAATGCAGGAATTCGAAATGTCTAATTTAGGGAATCTCTCCTATTTCCTGAGAATGGAATTCAAAGACATCGAAGAAGGAGTTTTCTTGCATCAAACGAAGTATACTCAAGATATACTGAAAAGGTTCAATATGAGCAACTATAAGGCACATGTTACTCCATTAGAGAATGGAGCAAAGCTGAAAAAAGGAATCGAATGATGAATTTGTAAGTTCGACCCTTTACAAACAAATTATTGGATCCTTGAGGTCTCTTTACAATACTAGACCAGATATCTGCCAAAGTGTAGGATTGTTGAACAGATTTATGGAGAAGCCTCGAGAATGTCATCTCATCGCAGTAAAGAGGGTGTTGAGATAAATAAAGGGAACTATTGATCATGGTGTGCTGTTACCAAAGAAATCGAAGAACAAACTCAGATGTCGAAGTTCGTGGATACACTGACTCAGACTTCAGTGGAGATCAAGACGAAAAGAAGAGTATTACAGGATACATTTTCATGATCGAAAGAGCTCCAATCTCCTGGAGTTCGAGGAAGCAAAGCATTGTGGCTTTGTCATCATGCGA